GTGTGTGTGTGTGTGTGTGTGTGTGTGTGTGTGTGTGTGTGTGTGTGAATCCAAACTACATTGGGACAGAGTCATAGGCAGGATGGGGGTTTCTTTGTGGAAAAACCGAGGGGCTCATCTGGTGTCTCTGGGGTTGAAAGGGGGTATGAAATCTGTGTGTGCGTCTATGAATAGAGGAAGGGAACAGGAGGGCTGCATTGACAAGGGTGCTAAAAGGCTGCGTGAAGGCTGCTGGCTGGGGAACGAGGGACGATCAGTGGGGGGGGGGGCAGAAGGAGGGAGAAATTAAGTGTCAATCAAATGTCAAACAGGGATAATATTTTCCTCATTCTGGCTCACAAATACAAACATTTGCAGACCTAAGACAACGGTTCTTTGTCCCAAAGCTTCCTGAATTAGCCCTTAGGTGATGCACAGATAGAAAAGGCCTGGGGGGGGGGGACAGCTTGCTTCTACCAACAAGAAACCGCAGACAGGACAGGCCATCACCAAATACCTGCAGCACCCATCCAGGGAACGGTCGGTGGAAAGTATCCCCAGCGAACAGACGTCATTAGCTTATGACGACAGGATTGGGTGTCTCCAATGAAAGATGCATTAGGAGAAGGAGAGAAAAAAAGAACACCCACTTTCCTCTATGATGGCTCGTCGGGAATGTCTTTAGAAAAGAAGAAAGGCCTTTTTCAGAAACGGCTGCAGCATTCAGCTCGACTGGGTCTGATATTTCCTCTCTGGTCCAACACAAAGACAGCCGGCTTTCTGCTGGCTCTGCAGAATTTTGATTGATAAATTACAGATTGACTTTACTTCACAACAACCACCAGCATTAAACATTAAAAAACCTCAGAAGATATGAAGTGCATCACCAATTCTAAAGAATATAGAAGTCCTTCAAAAATGCTGAAAACAATGGAGTTAAAATAAAGCACAGTTGCTTCCTCAAATCTATTTTTTGTTGCAAATGCTATGAGAAACTTGACAATAAAATAAACAAACAAACCAACTTTAATGGGTTTGAATTTACAATCTGAGCAAAAAAAAAAGCCAGATGTTGAAAGCTGATTGTTTTCATATCTGTTGATCTCTGTGTCCCTTTATGAACATGCAAACTGTGTCCACTCAAAGGCAACAGTTTAATTCCACTTTGAATACAAAAGAACTCCAGATTTAACTTAAACTACCTTTTGATTACCCTTTGCCAACATATCCAGTAATTATAACAGAACAGCTAAAAAAACACATCGATAAGAACATCGCTGAGAAATACCAAAATGTCCTCCACTCGTCAGGTTAAATTGTAGATACATTAAAAACAACACAGTCTTTTCTGTTTTTCTCCATTTCCTGTCCTTGGTCTTCCCTTCGATGTGCATTAGCCGAATTATTTTTTAAATATTACTAAAGCTGAATTGAACGGAATAAAAACGTTTATGGTGCCAGCAAAGAGACGAGTCCAGGTAGTTTTAACAGACACCATTAAGCTGCAGGGGTGCAATCAGACATTTTAAACGTCTATTAAGATAAAATCCCGGTGACAATAATGACGCCAGTAAAAAGCTGTACTGGTGATTAGAGAAACCACAGGCTGAAACCTGATGAGCAAACTAAAGCTGCTACGTGACTGTGTACCATCACAAAGCGGCACTATTTGCTCAGTGTCTGCGCTATTGTGAGATTTCCACATTACTTTTTTTTGTGGCGGAGCGAGAGGAGAAAGGGGAGCGACAGCAAGGTGCATTAACATACAGATAGAATAGGTAAAGAGTTTTAATGTACTCAGGAGGCCGGGGGAATAGGGAGGCAGAGCGAGAGCTGGGGAGGAAGGGGGCAATGAAGAGGAGAAGAGAAAAAGACAATCAGCAGGCTGGTGTCACGAAGGCAGGCGTCCATGACCTTATATCTCTGTTCATCAAGTAGAGACAGAAATGAAAGGGCTGCAGGAAGAAAAGAAAAAAGCAGGGAAAAATAAGATGAGCAGGATGGAAAGACAGTCAAAAATAGAAAGAAAGAAGGAGGATCCCAATGAATGTGGAAGAAGTGGGGCAAACATTAGGGAGTGAGGAAGAAGAAAACATTGACAGGAACAGAGATGAACATGGCACCGGCATGTATATGCTGACCTGACCCAAACCTTCAGAAAAATCAAAGAGAAAACAAAAAAAGGAAGCAACGCAAAGTGCTGCCGGAACGGCAAAGTTGGGCCAACTGAGAAGCTACAGAAGCTGGTAAATTAAGCTTTGGCCTCCTTAGAGTTACACTAATACAAATAAAGATATGTTTCTCTGCTGATCATACCTTGTTAGGTGAATTTAAATGAGATTTATCACGATATTTCTGCTCAGATTTATTAGATATGAAGAGAGAGAAGTTACAAAAATGCAAAAGTCTGGTTAGAATAAAACAGATTTTTTTAAATAAAGAAAAACGTCTGATTTCCCACCTTGTCTGGTGGCCTGAAAGCCTCGTTACACCCAACACTTTAATGTCCCATTCTCCTCTTTTCTGGTGTGAGACTGAGAACAAGCAGTCTGTTAGCAGCTCTGCATTTACACCCCCCCCCCCCCCCCCCCACCCCCCCCCCCCCCTCTCTGCGGACCTGAATGTCGCTGTCGCTGTACCCAGAGTGCGTTGCAACTCTTAAAAGGCAGTTTGTGTAAACGGCTGGTGAGGAGTGAGAAAATCGTCGGGTCCGGCTCGGCATGTCAGACACGACAGATAAAAGCCGAAACTTGGAGAAGTCACCTCTCTTAGTCATGAAACTAGTTCACTGGAGTCACAGAGGATCTGAACATTACTCAACTTACTTCTGCTTTAACTCCCCCAACTACATTCAAATCAATAGCAGCCACTGAAAAATACTCTACTCTAAATTAAAAGAAAGATCTGACCCATATTAAGCAGAGGAGACGCATTCAAACGATTTGTATTATTGCTCGACTTTCTTCTTGAGTTAAAATTATTTTTTATTGGGACAATAAATTATAAAATGCTGAGAAAGTTAGCTCTAACATGTCCTAGACCTTTAGTCTAATCCCACATTTAAAAAAATTCAATAAGCAAGTTACTTTCTTAAAGAAAACAAGATTTTTGTTATTGCATCGCATAAAAAGGAGCAAAAAGTGAGAGTTTTAATCTCTGTCATGCAAAATAATTAAGATTCCTTCTTTAGTGTTAATTTAGTCCTCCAAGTAAAACATTTTTTTTCCACTGTTGCAATAAAGTTGCTTGAATTTGAAAATTTTCAGCTGATTCATTCAAACAAATCTTTGGTATCAAAATTAAATATTACTAAAACATTTATAAGTGCGATTAAAAAAAACCCAATAGGTCAGAGTACCTTTCAATGACTTTATATGAACTTTATAAGATGAGCCTTCTAAGAACACATTGTTGAATTGTTAAGATTAGAAGGGCAGGTTCAGAGCTTTAGTTACAGCCTGTTTCTCCTGTTAAATACCAACTTAGACCAACTAAAATGTGACTGCATTGTTTAAAAAGAAGAAACAGAACCAGTGCAGAACTTAATTAATTTAAGAGAAGAAAATGAAAGAGCTGATTGGCATCATGAGTCTGAAACTGAAGCAGACGGAAAAACGAAGACTAGCTCAGTTCATGTGATTTTCCTGTTGTTGTTATTTAAGCTTTTATGTCTGAAGCAACCCAGTCCCCCACTATTGGCGGTGTTCCCGATACTGCAGCTACATTTATTAATGCTGTCGGTTTTAATAAAGTCAGCTGCTGTTTATGGATCCTGCTGTAAATTCAATGTATGTCCTAAGTACTGTTAAGAGTCTGGAAACAACAAAGAACTCTGCAAAGAGAATAAAAAAACGCAATCTGTCGTTTTAACTTTAGACTAGTGGCCCTTTTCAGAGCACACCAAAGGGATGGAGGATATTATGATGATGGGTCTGTACTACGAGTTATTTATTATTTCTTTAAAAATGTCAACATTAAGATTTAGTCTTAATCTTTAGTCTTAGTCTTTATTTACTAGACGACAACAGAGATTTTAGTGAGAAAACTCAGGCTACATCCTATTAGTGGCTACTCCATGTGCCTTGAAACACCAACAATATTCTGCGAGCAAAAAAATGGCAAGAGGACGTAAAAAGAGAAAACTATTTGTTTCATAAGATAAGAATGAGAGCACTTGTAATTTGCATCTATTGAATTAGGAAACCGAGAATACAACAATGCCTCTGTTTTACAAATGACACTTCAAAGCTTACTCTGTCGTTTCTGTGAGCAAATTAGAAAGACACTGACATGAGAAATGAAAGAATTTGGCTTAGTTTTTCCAAAATAACGGGCATACAGACACACAAACTAAACCCAACGCAACTTTTTTATCATGATTTCCTTTTGTCAAAATTCACAAGGTTATCAAACTTAATTTTTTACACCAGAATGATTTGACTCTTGTACTGCTTGGAAGGGATCATTTGGCTTGGTTCCAAAACAGTGAATTGAATGAATTACTCCATAAGTGGGTCTCAATCCTACCTCAAGGTTTCCATCTAACCTCTCTCTGACATTTTCATTGGTAGCAAAAAGTTCATTACTGTTGTTTCCACTCAGCAATGCCAACTTGGAGGGTCCTTGACCCAAAACACCTCAATCACGGCATGAAATACAGCAGCGCCTTCCAAAAGAGATAGAGATAATGGAAATTATGTTTAACTGAATTATTTTTTAAATATGTGAATACGAAAACCATCTGCGCGCATATATTCAAAACATATACTTTTGAAGTCCTTGGAAACCAGTTAAAAGGAAGGCTCGGTTTAACTTACCATGAGGTTATTAGGTGCTGGTCTCTCCTTGGGGTTCCTCCGCATACTAGAAAAAAAAAGAAGAAAAAAAGACATAGAAACAGTCGGTATGCAGCGACTACCCAATCTGTCATGAGTGCACAGGAAGTGTTTTCATTTTAACTTTCAATTTGAGAATAAATTTCATTATATATTAATATACTGGAGGATACTTGATAGGAAACTCTCTACGCCACAGAAACTGAAAGAAAAGGCTGAATAAACACACCATGAAGTTAATTTATTCAATGTGATTAAATGCTTGATTGTGTGGGTCCTCCTGTGTATGTGTGTGTGTGTGTGTGTGTGTGTGTGTGTGTTTGTGTGTGTACACGATGGTCCGGCCACAACGAACCCTTAATGACGACTGTGTGCAGTTACTTGTGAAACTGGTTTATGTAACACAATAAAAAAAGGCCCTGACCGCCTAAGAATAGTCAGGACGGAGAGTACAAATCCTGCACCAAAGGCAGGTGCCCGAGTCAGTCCTGAGAGAGAGGTGCCCTTTCTGAGTAAATACAGCAGCCACTGGGGATAAACAACAGCTGGCGTGGCCCACCGGTAAATTCTGGACTCGGGCATACACAAAGTGCTTCCATGTGGTTTGGGCTAGCATGTACATATTTGCCTATTTGTGAAGGTTACAAGTGGCTAATGGGTCAGAGGTAAACAGAGGGTAAACACTGCATTTGTCCTAATGCATTAGTCAAACCACTCATGCTTTGTTTGAAATAAAAAGAAGGGAGAAAAAAAAGCTTTTCATTTAAAGCCAGAGGGCTAAAACGTAAAAAACCACAGTGCATTAACCGGCATATGCAATTTAAGCCCACTGTAAACCATTTAGTTTGGGGTCTTTTTCCGTGGAACCGGAGATGCTGGTTGATGCCCAGAACACGAAGGTAGAAGACACCAATAATCCCACACAAATGAAAAAAAAAAGCTCATGTTTCTGAAAAGGAAGCATTTAAATCCGACTCACCACTGAGTGATGAAGTGAACAAACTTCTCGCTGAACTCTCCGACAGGGAGCACCGGAGGGTCCTGGGAAGAGGAACAAACCAACGCACACATCAGGAAACTGTTCAATCTGAGACCAACTATTTATGCTAAATGCATAAATGTATACAAAGATGACCAATGGAAGAATGCTGACAAACTTGAAATAATGACAATTAAATTTTCCCTTAAGATGGTGTACAGTATGTCAATAGTTTATCATTTATTTAATGCAGAAACTAGATCATCACAGGGAAGAGTGACAAAGGCGGAAATGTTTAAACCCAGTTTAAATGAATTGCACATTTTTACCCCTTATATTAAAATTATGAGCTGAAACAACATTAACACGGCTAAAAGTTAGAAAATGTTTGACTTGCAATATCTCATCAATAAGACCTTCGTGACAACTTTAAGGGGCAACATTTTCTTTTCTGTAGAAGGACTCTTCACACTATTTTTCATTCCTTTCCTAAAGTGAGAAGGTTCAACAGAGTCTAACAATTAAAGCTGATAACTGTAACAGGACTATAATAAACACAATACAAAAGGCTTATTTGGACATTTGGTGACCGCAAAACGAGCTGACATGAAAGACGATTTATCATAGAGAACTATCTGCAGAAAAGTGCTTTAAATGGGGGCAAAAAGAGCCTTAAGAACCAGCCTCTGCTCTCTGGTCTGAGAAGAAGGTCTCCAGCCACAGCTTAGAAATGTTCCGATGGCAGAACGTGTTTTAAGTTGTTTATTCAAAGAAGAATCTATGCTTAGTTATTGAGCTGCTGCTACTGAGAACGGTTTCTAGATCTAATGTAGAGGTCCTTCCATTGTCAATAGAAAAAACTAACTTACAGATAATTTATCCAGAAAGTGCTCTCAGATTGTGACTATGAGATGTATCTTAAACACGAGACATTCAACACACTCGCAAACAGAAAACCAGAACATAGATTTAATCTGATTCTCATCTCATGTCCTCAAATCCTGCAGGTTTGTCCCCATTTCATGTGGAATAAAAGGGCCTACTTTTTAAAAAGAGGACACTTTCAGTGTTTCAGAGACAGATGTACAACCTCATGGCTGCTTTGGGGACATATTTACGACATTTCAGGACACAAAACTGTGGGGATTCATCTGTTTTAATCGCTAATGATTCTTTTCTCCTGATCCTAACTTTATTTACAGTATGATGCTGCTGGGAACAAAGGGCATGTGAGAAAGCCTTTCTGACTTCTCCAAGTGCTCATTGGTGTAAGACTGAAGGCTCTAAATGTATGGAAGAAGGTGACCCCTGTGCGACTGTTTCTGAATGGGTTACTGACAAAACACCCATAAACACTATTTGAAGAATCTGAACGGATAAACCTGCGACATAAAAGTGCTTGCAGACTATTAAAACATTTAAATATCTAAAGATTGAAGTGGACACAGAAACAAAAGATGTTCAGCCATTCAGATCAAGGTTACTTTCTGAATGGCTGTGATTCATGTGTGAGATTTCTTTGAAATATGATTTCTTATTCAACATTGTGGCTTTTTGCTTCCTTTTTGAAGGATGGTATGTGTAAATCATTTATCATATCATCTATTTAAAATAATTAATAATCCTTATAAGACAGGTTGTGCTAAATGGCTTTTCAGATGTTGCTGCTAATTCAACATTTATGCAGTAAAAATCTGGGGCCACGAGCCATTCATGGCTTTATTAGGGGAAAATTAAAACCGATGCTTTACGAATCAAATGGGAACAAAACAATTAGCAGAGTGGTGTAACTCTCTGTACTGTCCGCTGTTTAGTGTTGGCACAAGAAGCAGATGATGTCAACATTGCATGTAATTTATTTTTTATAGCTTAAAAAATACGATAGATATACAGTATATATATAAAAATTTAAACACCAAAACACAATCTACAAACACAGTCTTGGATTAAACTGAACAGCAGTAACAGGTTTTAATATTTAGAACCTATTTCATTATCTAAATCTACAGTAGAAAGCCACATAAACCCTAAAACTGACCAAAACAGGCCCCATTGCTAAATATGTAGTAGTCTATGTCCTGTAGTCGTGTCAGTCTGGATGGTTTATAAGGTAAAATTAAATGTGAAATGGGGTCATTTTTACCCTTCGTTCCACCAGTTTAATTTTCCAAAGTCAGTATTATCAGTAACTGATATTAGTTTTAGCCCAACCTAAAACAAAAGCTTTCCATTATGAAAAAAACATAAAGAGATACAGCAGGACCTATCTAAGAATATCAAAACAAAGTAGGCGAGTAGTCTAATGGCAACCTGAAGTCAAGAAGTACTCCTTACACAAATACAGCCAGTTCGATAGGACTCATAAAGCCCGGGTTCACAAGCAGGTATTTATTCAAATGCCAGGAATTAAACGTCTTTACAACGGAAGCCCTGCTGCGCCGGTGAAAACACCTCTGGGCAGCGTTCGCCATTCCTTAATGCTCTGATCGGCAGGCTCTGATGCATGAACCCATTTAAATTAACAAAGGAATGGGTTCTTTCTAATCTCACTGCACTTCACAGTCCTGCTGCCGCTTGGATGAGCAATATATCATAGCACATTCACAAACCTGCATCTACAAACAAATGCCCTTGAGCGCTGCACTCTACACGCCCCGATATGCGCTCCGTTTAGAGGGAGAGAACAAAATAACCCACAGCCGCTGCATTATGGGGAGCACGCACACGCTCCAAGAACAATTACAGCCACAATGTTTGCAAAGTGTTGACCACACAAACTAATCTGTGTGGCTTGTAGGTTGAATTCAACACAATGTCTCCGTCTGCATGCAGCTTTCCGCCAAACCCGGCACTAACAGGCGCTTTATGCATGTATTCATGGCTCATCTGAGAGCAACAGTGCTGCAGCTTTGATGTGGCAGCGGGCGGTTTTACAAAAGACGAGCAGGCTGATGAAAGTGGCTGGTCTGTTTAAATTATTCCTCTCTCCACTATGAGACAGCACGCACGCCACGAGGGTACAAGGGTACGAGTAAATATACATGTCATTGCCATGGAGCAATTATTAGGCAAAATTAGATCAGTAATTACAGGCTTGAAGATAAAGTGGGATTCTTTATTAGTGGAGCCACTTGCAATTCAACAAACAGAAGAGAGGCGCATTAATGAGGGAGGACAGCGGACAGATGGTCGGAACAACTGCAGAGAACTTCTAATTTAAGACCTCGGCTGAGCGGGGTGAGCATCTTTCTGAGACAAACACAATACCGACCCACACGCTGAATAGAAGGGATGTAAATGACCGCAAATTGAACAATAAACACCTCTCTGTATCGTAGAGGTTAGCCCTAACTGACAACAGGTAGCCATTTAGAAATGTAGCCATATAAGAGGGATCTCATCAGAGCTTGCAGCCATTGACACTCTTATCTTTTATCTTATCGAGCCCTTCCTATGCATTCAAAAGTGGCAACCTTACACAGAATAAAAATTTAAAAAAATCACCTCGACCCCATATTCAGAGTTGCTCAAGTCTTGATGAATTACTTGAACTGCTCGGCCTTCTGTTGTGTGACTGAATCCTGACCATTAAATGGTGTAAACCGGTTTAAAAAAAAAGAGAGACTGGGCCCCATTTCAAGCTGCTTAAACACACACAAAAGTCCTGTGCATATCATTTAAGCAAAGGTGCCATCCAGATGTTCAAACCGGAGCTGAAGCTAAAACCACGAACAGAGTAACAGGCCTGATCGGAGACCTCTGTCCACACACACCGACGCTTGCTTCTAACACTAAAGTCTTCACGGTTTAAGTTCCAGTTTTATCCTCTTGTCTTTTCCTGGAAAGCCCAGAATTAGCTGGGACAGTAAGGCGCTGCCGCCTCGCCGGGGACAACGCGGGGCGCTCTCTCGCCTCCGGGGGAGACGGCAAAGGGCACGGGAAAAATAGTTTGAGTGATGGCTATGTCTGGCTGACTAATGAACAGTTCAGCCTGGGTCAATCCATTACAACCAAAAGCATTTAATTATTAATTACGGCCAATCTATAGACAGTTAAGGACAAGTGACACTGTGTGTTTAATGTGATATCTGGCTGGTGACAGGCTGTTGGTGCAGCACTTTGGCCGTTAGTGGGTGTCAGCAGAAGCCTTGCGAGGGAAGACGAGGAAAGGTTATGACTGCTGGTTATGACACAAATGTAGGCAGTGTGAGCTTACATATTCATGCGCTCAACAGCAGGACGATAAATCAAAGAGCAGGAAACTGCTGCTGTTGGGTTCACTCTGTTTTCTGACCTGATTTACAAAGTGCATCATGTTGAAAACTGTCTGGGGAGAAAAAACTAGCTACACAACTGCACTTAAGCAAGGAAGGTCGATACAAACTCACAATAAGGAGCCACACGTCTCCTCCCCATCCTGTCATGCTTTTAAAACAAGACTGGAGAGTAGAAGATTTAAAGCATTTTGTCCGTTACTTATATATATATATTTTATGTGTACGTATCGTCAAATTAAACTAAACCTGGACCTATTAGAAGGCCATGCACTCACTATGGTCATCAGCCATCATTTTTAATGCCTTTGCCTTCAGTGTGTTGAAATTTTAAGTCAGGTCAGCAGAATAATCCGGTCTAAACGCGACAATATGCTGTAATATTGGCGTGACGGTTTACAGAATTGGGAGTGTGTGTCACTTGTGATGGGTCCAACCTCTACAGTAATGTGCCTGTGCATATGTGTAGTGCCTGAGGCAGCTGCATAGGGTGAAGGGTTGGCTGAATGGGGAGCAAAGCCGCCTGAGTGGTTTGCTTCATTAGGAAACAAAATATAAGCTTTCCGGGCCATTAGGACTGACTTTAGATGCAAAAGCACATAAGACGACGACTCACCTCATCAACGATGCATTGCAGTAACTGGAGAGGCTGAAGAGGAGCAGAGGGAGATGGGGGGGAGACAAAGAGGGAAAAAAATATTAGCTTACATAGTATTTCTTGGCAATAAGGGAATTCAATTGTGTGATAAGAAAGGATCCACCTAGATTAATCAAATGAAGCAAGATCAAGCAAATCCCGCACCAGCTCCTAAATATTCCTCCTTTCAGTACGAGACCTAATGTGATATAAGCAGTTTAAGCGTGACCTAATATTTTGTTGCAAAAATCCAATCTGTTTTTTCTTTTTTCAAATTGAGAGAGTCAACCAAGAGTGACAGACTATATGCAGAACACGAGACCTCTAGCTTTTTTCCCTCCTCATATTCAGCTGCAATAAACTCACCATTAAGGATCCTTGGATCTTCTGAATCTGTAGGGCAAGACAGAGAAAAAAAGACTAGGCAATATGTAATTAGCGTGTCATAATCAAGACGATGCACTTGGACACATTATGATCACTGGGAGAAAATTATTGCTTTCCTGTTGGCAATTTGAGAGTATGTACTAACATCATTTACATAATGAAAACACACAAATGTTAATGGTCTAGCTCTCATTTGTGTGGAATGGGGGATAAAAGATCCACTAACTCTAATTTTCAGAGCAGCACTTTATGCCTGCCCTCCAGGTTATCTAAATGTGTTGGGATGCAGAATAAATGTAAAACAGTAGTAAAAGAGATTTGAGACGAGCATGCTCAGTCAGAACATCTATTTTACAGGTGAAGCAGCACTTTTACCCCGGCCTGACAAAAGTCAGAACATATCATGAATACTTATCTGACAATGAGAGCACCATGCCCTCAGAAAATATACAATAGAAGGAACTTTTCATATAAATGACTTAAAATGTGTGACACTGAGGCAGAACGGCAAAAATAGTTTTGTTTTCCACTTTTACTCCCCCCCAAGGCTGAATTCACCAGGACAAGCTGTTTTAATTTCTAAAAACATAAATTTATAGCTTCATTATAGAGACTTAGCAATAGAAGGCTTAAAACCAAGGCTCAGCTAAATAGATTGCTCATTTTTCTGGGTCTTTTGACAGTGCATTAGAGCACTTATTGATTCACTCAATTAAATACAGGTTTTCACAGTCTGTAAATACCAAGAGACTCCTAAACTGCCTCAACATCCAGTTTTGCCTGATTCAGACACATTAAAGGCAACTATGGAAAACTAATTTGTTCAGAAATAATTACTAGAACTAAATTGTGTGCTGCTACAGGGTTTGAAATTGGATTGTGGGTGGCTGACTTATTCAAACATAACAGAGAACTTATTCTTTTTGTACTGGGTAGCTTGACCACATATGACGAAGGTTTCAATATCCATCTGAATTAAGTGAATCTGATCATTGTGCACTGATTATCTAGTTTGTATATCATTATCTGGATGTTCAGCCGCGGGATAAGCGTTGCTTAATGTGATAATTAAACTGAAGACGTTTCTCCTGCAGGACATTTCTCCAGTTTCTTTTTTTGACGATAACATAAAAAGCACAGACATTCACTGTGTACTACTGTATTTATACGTATTTTTGAGAGGTGGTTTGTGTCTGTTTTCCACTGACTGACAGAAGTAAAGTGAGCTCTGCCCAACAACACGTAAACAGCTGCATAAGCCCGAGACCTGCTACTCTCAGTTTACAGTCTCTATGATCCTACAGTCATCTATGGTGGCCGTGTGTCTTAGTAATGACTGAGAGGAAAGGGCTGAACTTAGTCATTTGAGAAGTTGTCCAAATTCTAAAAGTTAAGCCTCGCTGAGGGACGTGGGATCACCTTAGGCGTGTTTTTGCTGTAGAAAATTACAACCAACATTGATTCAAAGTAAAAACAGATAAGATTGCCCACTGATGTCAGCTGAGAGGGGGACAGGAAAAAAGGGGACAGATGCAGTGATGTGAAAAAAGAAAAAAAAATGGTATGGCGTTTCATCCAAAAATTCATTCAAATATGTGAAATATGACAAAGTGAGGAAACAAAAACAACTACGGAGAAGAGCAAAAAGACAACAAATCAATCAGAAACAGTAGTGCCTGCGGCTGTATACACATCACATCAGGTCTGGTATCTTCAAAGACTTTCAGAGCGAGCCGCGCAAAACTCCATTAACTCCTGACAAAGAATGCAAATGAATCCCAACATGTGGTGAAGTGGAATTAAAGAGACCATCTCTAATCATGACAAACACGAGGTGATGACTTCACTCTGCATGCAACACATACACAAAAGGGGATGAATGAAAGATAAGACAGCAAGTAAACAAAATAAACACACAAAAACAAATCAGAAATGTTTAAATGCCTTTTAAAATGCACAATATAATATATTTAAGTGGCAAATTCAGTTTAACCAGCTCATATGATTCCAAGAAGGTTCTGTCTCTTTTATTGTCTCCAGTTTCCTCTGCCTGGACTAAACTGTCCTCTGTGAAGTGTAGCAGGGGGCTTTGCACAGACAGCTGTGCCAGAGTTGGGGGGGGGAGAAGAAAAAGAAAGGAACGCTGACAGCTTAGGCCTGAGGACTTTGGCTGGGCTGCGCTTGACGAGCTGGATCCAAGAACTCGCCACCCAGCAGCCCGCAGGTGGAGAGTCTGCGCTGCCATATGGGCTTAGGGGGAATTAACACGGAAATAAAGAAAAACGAGCGACACTGCCGAGCAGAAACAACCCAGGAGCTCCTAATGTTTTGTCCAACTTATCAATGAGGATGAACTAAACTTGAAAAAAAAAAAAAAAAAATTGGGGGGTTGGAAACTTAAAAAAAAAAAAAAAAAAAAAAAAGGGGAGTTAGCTTAAGTTCTTGATATACAAAGCTCCAGACCCACGTCTCTACTGATCTGTTTCACTTGCCATGCAACTTTGAGATGGATGGATTTTTGTAAAAACATATTTTTCTTTATGGTTCTTAACATGATATCCCTAATGATCACGTTTCAACTGCAGTTTGAGCAAAACACTGGTCCTGTTTTTTGTGTCACACACACTGCCACTCCATCCAGACTGGACGATAGACGATCAGAGCAAATCCACTTGGAGAGTCCACACCGAACCCTGTGTGACGGTGTGGGTCATCCAAGCTTTAGATGGGATGAGTAGGTCACCGGACAGTCTATGCTAAAGACACTCTGGCTCCTCAGTCTCAAAGTTTTAGTTGCACTTCTAGTAAAGAGAGTGCTTGTTTTATTCATTGACAGACGATCTTCCACTTTAAGGGACATTGCCTTTCCCATCAGAGGATGAGCTGAACAGTGTAGTGAAAAACCAAACTGACTCCCCACTTTTGCTGTGAGAACGAGCTTTGGAGAGAACACCTTCACGGTGAGGGAGAAAGGGGAACATTAACAGACTTCTCAGCCAACTAAGTCAGATTTTTTAATATTACTGGCTTATTTGAAAAGTTGCTAGACAGGAAATCTTAACAAATGTCTGTGGTTTGCTTTTTTCTTTTCCACTCGCCATTCCACCGGCATTGCAGGCCATAAATACATATCTAAAAAAGAAAACATGTATTGTTCCAGGTTTTAGTCAATCTTATTGATGTGTAAAATAAAAATAAAAATGTGAGCTTTTGGGTCTGCTGTCCCGATGGCTCCTTTTTGTCCAAAAGGAGGATTAATGAACTAATCTGACTGATGGAACTCTACAAAGCTAAAGGAACATCATGAAACATGAGAAACAATATTTTCTAAACTTCTCAGAATGCCACTAACTCAGCTTTAATGCAGAAAGGATAAATCCAACATTGTGACATTAAGTTTTCAGAGCCTCGTTGTTGCGCAACATGCAGTAACTTTAAAAGCAAACTCCAAGCTGCTTCTTCACGTTCTTCTAGGCGAGCAGCCATGAGGTAACCTGAGGTGATCAGATTCAGATTGCTCGGCGAGGATTAGTCAGATAAACCCATCTTAAGTACTAATTAAGACTTGATGGGATTGGGAAGCCACTTCTGTAGTCAGCAATTACATTTGAGCAGGATTTTGTTTTAGAGTAATGAGGGAAAAAATGGGCCCAGGCAGCAGATTTACACATTGAAAGTTGTAGGTAAAAAAAACAACAACTCGTTTATGAAGATGACAATGGGTAAAATTACCAAACTCTTAGTATGTGTGAATGTCCTTCAGGTGATTAAGTACATTAATACTATCAGAAAACTGATACAATAATATAAAAAAGAAAAAAGAAAAAAGAAGCCACATCCCAGTTTCTTTTACAAATAAAATCTGTCACATGATGGTTACAAATACTAGTTAAGTTTGGGAAATGACTTACTTGTGGATAGGGGAACATCCCAAGCGCCAGCTGTGTGGAGAAAGAAAGAAATCGTTCAAAAAATGTAAACTGAAAAATGTTTGTAGACCTTTGGTTTATCCAAAGGGCTGACAAAATAGATAAAACATACTTCGTAAACAATGTTCTCAATATAATCTAGAAGGTTTCATATAGCTAGAATTTCCTGCGTGTCCCTTTGACTCCTTTGAGGGATTCCCTAAAACTTCAAACTGAACCTGATAATGAATCCTGGAATACGTGCACATGCACATTAATGCATTCATGCCCTCTCAGCATCAGTGTCTTCGCAAATACACACAACAAGAAAACGGTCCAGAACTGAGTTCAGCTGGCTCATCTTGGTCTAAGTCTTTGAGGTAAGCTTAGTGCCCACCTGCTGATAACACTCGTTCATCAAACACCGTCTATTAGTTAATAACCTCCAAACAATTCCCACCTGCTGACAGCAGGATGCACGGATAAATAGAAAGAGGGCAAGAATCTATCTGAGTGTATCTGAGCGTGTGTGCCGTTTTGTGAGGGTTCGGTGACAGTTGGCAATGGACATTTTTCATAGCTTATTGGCAACATCACGTATGAATGAATGAAGATGCCAAAATATGTCTTTCCTTGAATACAAATAGACCAACTAGCAGGCCTAAAGATCAAACCAATCAGACCAGAACTGCAAATGACTTCATTTAGCTTCATATACTTCCACAGCGGAGGACAAAGAAACTGGACCGGGGGGTCCATTGCTACTTGATTCCATCTTCATCACACGGAGAATTTGTCAATACTTTTTCACATAGCTACATCACTGTGAACTAATCTATTACCGTTATAATTTCATGATAAGAAACAATGTTATTGATTGTCAAAGGTGAGACGGTAGCTCAGATCATTTGTTTTAATGCAGAGGGGGAGCGAGGGACAGGAGAAGAAGTGAGATCAATAGAGTCAGCAGAGACCATGTGAGCGAGTTACTGAAATCTAAATGTTATTTGGAAAGGTGTCAGTCAACAGCATGAACAGAAATATGAACACGCCTGAATCCAAGGGCAACAAGCAGGCAGGTAGAAACTAGTCATTTTAGGCCAAATATATTGTCAAAAGGGAAAAAAATGTATTGTTAAATATGTATTGCCCTCCTCTGAGTATGAAGCAGGTAAATGTGAGCTAATTTAGGAATTTCATACCTCCATGAAAGAGATGCCTACACTCCAAACATCAGCATGGATTCCATACTGCTCTCCTGATATCCTTTCTGGCTGTGGGATCAAAGCAGAAAACACACCATATGACACCTAATTGTATATTCAATTATTTAATACAAAAAAAAGAAATTTAATGTTTTTGTTAAAAATCCAACTTCACATGAGCGTTAGAGTCAGAGAAACTCACCGCCATGTATGCATTGGTTCCCACATACGTCTTGGCAATAGAATTTACAAGCTGCAAATAAAAGCAACAGGGTTAATCTGAGGAGCTGCCCTGATAAATCATTCACATATAAAAGCAAAGGTAGATATTTTAGGCGACAAAACAAGGGGGCAGGTGTAAGCCGAGGGGACGGGAGCGAGCCGGCGCATGTCACCAGTGACAGGACCGTGATAATGAGCGTCTGCTCCCCAACGGCTTTGTGTTTCTACAGTACGTCCAACAGAAAGTAAGACGGTGAACGGTGAAACACGTAGAGACAGAAAAACGTGGTCGAACACACAGAGGGCGAGTCACCCGTGGAAAATCACCTTGAAGTTGCAGAAAAAGTGCAGGTTAAAAATGAATAACAATTTGCTACCGAACATGTGTGTGTGTTTTTAAAAAAGGCAGACAGTCTTCAGGGTTGATGTTCTTGGGAACAGTGAAGGTCTGTCCCTGATGATTACATTATGAAACCCACTTTGACACGCACACACACACAGACACACACACACACACAGACACACACACAGACACACACACAATGACACGGCTATTGTCTGCCACCCACGCTTTCCCCC